CTGGTAGCAAGGTCTGTTTTACCACTGGTATAGAGAGAGAAGCATAAAGTGAGACTTCCAAAATTGCTTTGTATCACTATCATCATTGACTGAGTATTATGTAATAGTTCGGACTATACAAGCAAACTTTTGCATTGGCAATTTCTTTTCTAGGGTCATTTTTCACAATGACATGTCAAGTTAAAGGAGTATTCTAATTGCTAACTGTGTGGTCCTTGCAAGGAAATATGTGATGTTACTTACAACAATACCAAGACCTAACCAATAATTGTGGCTGCCCTTTATGAAGTCATTCTTCCCCGTTTAAACACACATAAGGGTCTGTCTTACATCAGAATGAGGCATAGTTATCTTCTGTTAGTGTGGTTTTAAATCTTTGATGTAATAGCCAATGAAAGAAAAAAAAGCTAGGCCCAGAAGAGGGAAGAGGTTCATCTAATTAGTCTATCAAAACCCTACTAGTTCTAGAGACTGATTAGCAAAGTATATGACTGGAGCAATTATATTCTGTTCATTGTCCCAAAGTACTAGTTAGACATGGAAAACATTCAATACAAGCAAGAGTGTGGGCTTGGACAAGTCAGTTATAAACCAGCATTTCATATATTGTGAGGGGCAGGCAGTACATCAGCCCTAACAATATTATTGTGTTCCTCTGAGGTCTGCCGTCAGGGTCAAGCATTTGGAAAGCAAACCCAGAATAAAGATAGGTGTTTGCAAAGCTAACATTTTATATTGAGTACCCTTAGTACCACTTTTAATGTGCTATAAAACCAGGGGCTTCACTTTTTCATGAACTGTGTGCAAAAGCAGAGGCAATGACTGGAGGTTGACTTTGTGCAGAATTGTTTTATGGTGGCTGTGCCTGTACAGTAATGTGATCTTGAAAAAGGTAAACAACAAAGAGTTTAGCAGTGAAAAATACGCCTAATATAAATACAGTCAAGTACATGGCAGTTCAGAATTTGAAAAATATGACTGTGGCATTAAATTTTCTGGTGGAATTAACGGAGGAACAGAATATAGCCTTTAAAGCAGTATATCTGAGACAGAGAAAGGAGATAATACATCTAACTATATAGTCTGTGTGGCATTCATATAAAGGAAGGCACAGTAGCTTTATTTAATTGAGAAAATGAATCAATTACAATGATGTTACACCATCAAATTCTTGTGAAATAGAAGATATAAGTCATTGCATTGTGTAACACTGTTAAAAAATAATTGAGTATCTTAAGCATTTTGAATCAATTTCAGGTACTGGTGCTGCTACCTTAATACAAAATTTATGAAGATGATTTCATATAATATGTTGCTATCAAAGCTATGTAATAAAACCTGGGAACAATATCTCTCTTTAAAAACCTGGGCAAAACAGTATAGTTATAAGATCATAAAAAATACTGTGATATTACTGTTTTTCTCTGTCTTATATTAAAGAGCAAGCATTAAAATAGTATAATGTTAAGTGGTCTTAGTTGAAGCTTTTAACCCCCAGAATATGACAAGGTTGAGAACTTCTCCAAGATCTGGGTTCATGGGGAAATTTTCTCTCCCCAACTCATTTGATTCACACAGCTCATATGTTACTGGGGACAATGTCTCGTAAGCCATCCCTAAATTCATTTTTTTTTTTTTTTTTTGAGACAGAGCCTCAAGCTGTCACCCTGGGTAAGTGCAGTGGCATCACAGCTCACAGCAACCTCCAACTCCTGGGCTCAAGCGAGTCTCCTGCCTCCACCTCCCAAGTAGCTGGGACCACAGACGCCCGCCACAACGCCCGGCTATTTTTTTTTTGGTTGCAGCCGTCATTGTTGTTTGGCGGGTCCGGGCTGGGGATTCGAACCCGCCACCTTAGGTGTATGTGGCTGGCGCCTTAGCCGGTTGAGCTATAGGCTCCGAGCCCCTAAATTCATTTTGAAACCTCTCATTTAGAATGTTTGTTGTATCTTTTCCTCAGAGAAGATTGTAATTCCCCTAATTCTTGGAAATTTGTGAAAAACATTCTCTTGATGTCAAAAATGGATTTCTAATTCTGTGTTCATTACAAATAGCTCTCCTGTTGAAGTAGAGATACCTTACTAAGAATGTAGGGGTAGGGGAAGAATCCACGTGTGCTTAAACAAATAAAAGCAAACTCCATAGGTAGCTCATATCATAGGAAAGTTACCCATTATTTTCAAGATTTTTTAAAAGTTGATCTGGTTTGTTACTAAAATCCATAACTAACTTGTTAAGGGTCATAGTTAACAACCCCCGCCTCCCCTCATAGTATAAATCTTTACTTGTGCCCATCAGTAGCTTCCAGTTATTAGAGAATGCATGTGGTATTTATTTTTTCACTCCTGAGATACTTTACTTAGGACAGTGGTCTCTAGTTTCATCCAAGTTGCTGCAAAAGATACTATTTCATTCCTTTTTATGGCTGAGTAGTACTCCATGGAAATCAAGAAGGGAGGAGGGATAAAAACTTACCTGTTGGGTACCATGAACACTATTTGGGTGGTAGGCACACTAAAAGCCCCAACTTAAGCATTATAAAAGGTATCCATGGTCTGGATGCAGTGGTTCACCCCTGTAATCCTAGTACTTTGGGAGGCCAAGGCCAGGGGATTCCTTGAGCTCAGGAGCTCGAGACCAGCCTGAGCAAAAGCAAGACCCTGTCTCTACAAAGAAAAAAAACAAATAGATAATCTAGCTGGGCATTGTGGTAGGTGTTTGGGGTCCCAGCTACTCCGGAGACTGAGGCAAGAGAATCCTTAAGCCCAGGAGTTTAAGGTTGCTGTGAGCTGCAGTGATGCCATGACACTCTACCCAGGGTGACAGAGTGAGACTCTGTCTCAAAGAAAAAGGGTATCCATGGTCTGGCATGCTGGGCCATACACCTGTAGCCCCAGCTACTCAGGAGGCTGAGGCAAAAGGATCACCTAAACCTAGGAATTTGAGGTTGCTGTGAGCTAGGCTGATGCCATGGCACCCTAGCTTGGGCAACAGAGTGATACTCTGTCTCAAAAAAATAAAAATAAATAAAAGGTATCCATGTTACAAAAATAATTGCAGCCCTTAATATTTTGAAATTTAGAAAAAAAACCTTTGCCTATGGAGACTTGCCCAGAAGTGCTCATTGACTAGAGGAACCAGAAGGAGCAATAATTCAGGGCAACACTAAGCAGAACTATCAGTGTAGGCTATGAGCCAGCAGCCTGTGACAGAGGTTTCAGGGAGTAGTAACCAGGGAGGAGGTAAGGAACAGCCATGAGCAGCGATGAAGGGGCACCATGTTCATTTGAGAAGTACATGGGAGAGCACTTTTTAAAACATCCAATCACAGGCCAGGCACAGTAGCTTATGTCTGTTATCCTAGCACTCTTGGAGGCTGAGGCCAATGGATTGCCTAAGCTTAGGAGTGCGAGACCTCTTCTCTTAAAAATAAAAATAAAAAAATAGCTGGATATTGTGGTGGATGCCTGTAGTCCCAGCTACTTGGGAGGCTGAGGCAAGAGAATCACCTAAGCCCTAGAGTTTGAGGTTGCTGTGAGCTATGACGCCATGGCACTCTACCCAGGGCAACAAAGTGAGACTCTGTCTTGAAAGATAAATAAGTAAACAAAACACCCAAGCGCTAGGTGGACGGGTCTGCTGGTCACGCACATGGATGAAATGCAGAAGCATCGCTGCTGCCCTTGAGAATCACACAGTCTATTTGAGATCAACCAAGGTGTCAAAATTGATACCTGATCAGTTATACCATGCCAGGTTTAAATGCATGCAGATCCATTTGTTTTTAAATAATGTGATAATTATAGATAAGAATAATACAGATGTTGGAGGGAAAGCACCCCAGAGAAGCCTCATCGCCACCACATCCTGACCTGAGGCCTTTGGCCTGCGCCCTGTCCTCTGGCAGACTCAGTTTTACCCTCGTAGAATAGACCTGATTATCCTTGCCAACCTCAGGGTGGTTGTGCCCATCAAATGAGTGTGTATGGGAAAGAACTTTTAAAAATACCATTAAAAATATATAAGGGACTTCTATTTTCCCCATATATTACCAGCTGGTTGGAACTCATTTATCCCAGAAGACAAGTGGCTCATCAATAGTGGTATTTGGTTCCTGAAAATTACCCTCTTAGAAAATTTAGTACCTGGGACTCCATTTTCATTGAATTTGTAATGACGGTAGGCATTTTTTTGCTGAATGGTAAGGCATTGAAGTGTTTAATACTTTAATGACTAAGTGGATATTTTATTAATTTTGTGTCACATTTTAGTAACTTTCTGAGAGATAATGGTTTATCAGTTTAACATTGATGTGTGAGCAGCCTGTCTTCAGAATCCCGATCAGGAACAGCCCCTCTTATTGGAATCTGCTTTTATTCTCTGAAAAACAGTGTAAAACTTGCATGAATTTGATTTTCCCAGAGAGCATTGCTGCCCTGGAAACAGGCTGAAAGAACTTTGGAAAAGATGGAGTCTTTACCTCACTCCTAAGTTAGAGGCAAATACTTCAACCACATAATTAAAGTTTTCTTCACAAAATAGGGGATTGTGAGCAGATACTGGCAGGAATCCAAAATTCTAATTTCTGACTATGATTTAATTTCAATTTTAAATAAATCGGTTTTTAATTTAAAAAGAGTGAGCTTCATAACATTAGCAATGATTGCAACATTAAGCCCAGTGTTCACAATCTAGCAATATAAAACATTATTTATATCTGAATCGTAAACAGCCTTTTGAAATGGATTATGGTTTTTCTCCCTATTCTAATACAACCTGGAGGGTACTAAAAAGTGTTGTGTGAAATTAACATTCTGCTGACTTTCGCCTATAAATGAGAAGCGAGCTATTAACATTTGTGTATTTTCATTATGTAAATTGTGTTAACACATGCCCACAAATTGCCACCAGCAATGCAATAATTTTCTCTCAGTGATCATAATGTGTCCAAGTGAGTCATTTTGATTATGACATGCTAATTACATATTGCCTTTTTTCAGATTCAGAAAAACCAGGGATCTTTAATGGTAAGCTTTATGAGTTCAGAAAAAAATTCACTTTTCTTTTTCCTGATGGCTGCTTCCTTTGCATGCTTGAATGCCTTGTTTTAAACTTAGCAAATTGCATTTTGAAGAAAATGCAAACCTTTAACTGCCTGTATTAGATTAGGTACCATTAGAAATAATAGAACATCCTGAGCATCAATGTTTTTATAAGAGTTTGCTGTTGTTGATTAATCTTGCTATATTTTATTGCATTAATGATTTTTTCTTTCCACTCCACTGTGAAGATATTGCATAGAGGCTAATACTTTTTCCTCTCTTCTTTCCCATTGCAGCCTCTCCAGCTTCTGCAGTGCATTGTTGATGAGGTGAGGCATCGTCTTATGTGCTTTCACTCCTAAAGTCATTCCTAATGGTGTGGAAAGCTTATATTTTGTTTCCTAATGAAGCACAATGCCCAACATCCTTGGAGCAAGTTGTGTTGTATGGCTCTGAGCTATGTTACGTGGAATGGCCTTGTCCTGAATCCTGCTCTTCTGATTCTAGGGGAGAAACCCTGCAAAAGCAGACTGTCCCACAGGCTGTTCCTAAGGGGTGTCAGAGGCCCTAAAGACAAGACACAGTAATATTAATTGATCCTCTCCCTGGCCAGATGGGGATGGAGCCGGAAATTAAAATGGCATCATTTTTTCCATAACAGATATTTAAAGTCATTCAGTAAGCTAGGGTCAGAGTTGAACAGCAAACATAGCTGGATAAATTTGCCTTTCTTGCTTTATTTACCCAAAGCATACCAGGTGATAAAAGGGATTGAAAGCTCTAAGTCAACAGTTCAGCTTTAATTTCCTAAATAGTCACTTTCCTCAGAATATGCCCCTGACCTCTTACGGATTCTAGGATTCAAGTAACCAGAAACTAGTATTCTCACAGTTGAAGTCATCTTACCTCTAATTATTCTTATCTATCAAGTTTCATTTTCCCTTTGCCACCTTAGAGCAAATCTACCTTCTCAGCGAACTTTTTCTACTTTTTATTCTGACTTGAAATTCCTTTTTCCCCTCCATAAATTAACAGTCTTATCATACACAAGGCTCTCAAGAAACATTAACATTTTTGAAAACTGAACTTCTCTGGGCCTGGGCTTGCCCACTAGCAATGTTTATTTTTTAAACTTTAATTTTATAATATTTAAAATACGTGTAATTAGAGAGAGGAGGCGATAAATGACTCAGATAGGAAAGTTTGAAAGAAAAAACAAATCGTAATTCATAATTATTCCTCTCAATTAAACATCTGTATAACTAGTTATGAGATTTGGGAGAAAAAAATAAAGATCCTCCTAGGAAAAAAACAAACACGCACGCATATCACAATAATAGTAAGAATGGGGCTCTAACATCCTTAATGGTTGCATCCGTCAGTCCATATATCCCCTGCAAGCCATAAACCATGTTGGTGTAAAAATGAAGGCATCGTCCTGAAACAAATGGAGGTTCCATTATCTCAAATATCAGACAGGCTTCCTGGATCTAAGAGCTCATCAATATCTTCTGTCATCTTAGATTCCAAAAGCATCCTATCCCCATCAGAATCCTTCTAATTAAACCAATTTTCATGAAGTCCCCCTCCAGTTTTGCTTGGGGAAGTGCCCAGGGAAACTTGGCCTAGGCAGTTAAGCTCACAGCCCGCTGTGTTTCCTGGGCTCCACTGTTCTCGGTCTGCCAGGCTCCTGGGCAGCAGAACATTCAGGTACAGGTATTTCTCACCAGTAATATGTGTATTGCTAGAAAGATAATGTGAAGTTTTCTGGATCAAATACTAGCATTCCTTGTTTAAAATAGCAGTGATTGCTATTAAATTTAAAATATTCTACTTGTTTAATTTTGGCAGAATTATGAGATGCTTGAAATTATTGTAGGGAAATGGTCTGTTTAGTGGGGAGAAAGTCAGTGAAGAACAATAATGTCTGCCCTAAGTGGAATGCTTTTCTCTGTAGCATTTCTTCCTTAGTGAAGAGAAAAGTATTACTTAGACACCTGTCCCCATTTACTCTAAAACCACATTCCATGGAAGCTTGGGAAATTGGCGCTGTCTTTACTAAAACCAAGTTGATCTTGGCACTGAACTGATACTCTGAAATAAGAGTATTAGGATTGACAAGATGACCTGCCTAAAACAAGGAACATCATAGCATCTAAGAAGGAAAGGACTGGTGGGGTCCTATGTGCTTGTCAGATACCTCGTGGCTGTGATGCAGTGTTGCTCATAGAACAGCCCAAGGACAAACTGATCAGAATTGCCTAAGGTGGGTGGTGCCTGTGGCTCAAGGAGTAGGGTGCCTGCCCCATATACCAGAGGTGGTGGGTTCAAACCTGGCCCTGCCAAAAACTG